GAATAAAAGGAAACACTCCCCTTTCTCCCTGCTCAGCAACCGGACAGGACAGGCTTGGATTCTGCTTCCTTGCAAATCAAGAAGTAGCTTTACAACTTGAAAAGTCTCTTAATCCATGTGCTGGGATGAGGCAGGGCATTGCAGGTGGGGACTTGGGCTGTGAGGACATCCTGCCAGGCCCAACCCTGGCCTTAGGAGCTGGAGTCTGCCAGCTCCCACTCACCCCGCCCCCCAGCTCTGGTTATTGCCCCACCTCATCCCTGCCCAACACCTCGACCTCCGCACCCCCTCTCCCCTCTTTCTCACTCCCTTGGAGGATGGAAGAGTCTCTGCCACGAAGAAAGAGCCCAGAGGTCAGGAGTTTCCTCCATCCACTCATACACAAACCAATGTGCCCCGAACCAGAGCTGAAGTAGGACCTGAGCAGTCAAGTACCAGCAGAGTCCAGCTATCTCATCACTCGGGTCTCCTCCCTGCAGGTACTCAAGAAAGGCACTAAGAGTGGTGTCTTCATTCAATTCAACCAACATTTATGGAGTACCTGCTGTATGCCAGGCTCTGTGCTGGAGTTGAGAAGAGCACTATAGCCCTAGCTGGTTCAGTTCAGTGGCTACAGCATTGGCCTGTGGACTTCAGGGTCCTGGGTTCAATTCCTGCCAAGAGCACATACCTCAGTTGCAAGCTTGATTCCCAGCCCTGGTCAGGGCACGTGCGGGAGACAAGCACTTGATGTGTCTCTCTCACATTGATGTTTCTCTCTCCCTCTCTCTGAAAGAAAGAAAGGAAGAAAGAAAGAAAGAGAGAAAGAGAGAAAGAGAGAAAGAGAGAAAGAGAGAAAGAGAGAAAGAGAGAAAGAGAGAAAGAGAGAAAGAGAGAAAGAGAGAAAGAAAGAAAGAAAGAAAGAAAGAAAGAAAGGAAGAAAGAAAGAAAAAGAAAGAAAGAAAGAAAGAAAGAGAGAAGCTATTGTTCCTACTCTCAGGGAATGGGAGAAAGGGTGGACACTACAAGTGCTTTATAGAGGTGCAAAGTGCAGGTGAGTATACAGCGTGAGGCTGATTTCACTTGGGGAACAGAGTGTGAATATCAAGGAAAATTTCTACCAAGAGATGACATTTGAGTTGGGTAATAAAAAATTACCCAACAGTAAGAAATGTCCTTGGTGGCAGAGGAAAGTATAAGAACTATAGTGACTGTTCAGAGTCTCAGGTACTGTGCTCAGCACCTTATGTATTCCTTTCATCCATACAATGATGCTAGGAGGTAGGTGCTATAATTATGCCCATTTTCCAGATGTGGTAACTGAGGCTTAGAGAAGGGAATTGATATGTTTGCAAACACTCACAGCAGGTAAATGGTGAAACAGAATGGAGAATCAGGTCTCTCTGCTTCTACGCTCTTAACTTCTACTATATACTAGTCTAGTGGCCTGGGCAAAGGACACGTGGAGGAGAGGGGCAGGAGGTGAGGCTGGAAGGGTGCAGGTAGGGGTTGGGTGGTGGAAGCCTTGATGAGGAGTGCGGGCTTTATCCAGAGAATGACGGGGAGCCACGGAAGGTTCGTTAGTGAGGAAAAAGGTAAAGAGGGTTGGCACCCCAATTAGTTTTCTGTTTTTAGAGGCTCACTTTGAAGGATATTACAGACAGAGAAACCTGTGTAGGAGTTGCTGCAAAAAACCCAAGAAAAGGATAGGGATTGAGGGATGAAGAGATGCACTGGGGAGAAACTGCAGAATCTGGGGAGTGATTGGCTCTGGCAGATGCAGTAGGAGTCAAAGATGATGTCCCAGAGTTTTGGCCTACGTGCTCAGCTCCAGAAAGAAGCCCAATAATTGGTCTTTAACAATAGAGTGGTCCCTCCTTATCTGTGGGCGATGTCCAAGACCCCCCGTGGATGCCTGAAACCACAGATTAGTACCAAGCCCTATATATACTATGTTTTTTTCCCTATACATACATACCTATAACAAAGTTTAATTTATAAGTTAGGCACAGTAAGACGTTAACAATAATAATAAATTGAACAATTATGCCTGACAGGTGTGGCTCAGTGGTTGAGTGCCAACCCATGAACCCAGAGGTCACTGGTACAATTCCTGGTCAGGGCACATGCCCGTGTTGTAGGCTCAACCCCCAGTAGGGGGCGTGTAGGAGGCAGCCAATCGATGTTTCTCATTGATGTTTCCATCTCTATCCTTCTCCCTTCCCCTCTCTCTAAAATCAATTTTTAAAAAGTAGAATTTTAACAACGTGCTCTAGTAAAAGTTATGTGAACGTGGTTTCTCTCTCAAAACATCTTATTGTACTGTACTCACCTTCTCTCTTCAAGGAAGCACTTTAAGCTTCTTTTTGGCATGTCCAAATCGCCACCATCACTACTCTTTTGCTGTGGGCCATTACGAAGTAAAACACAAGCACTGTGCTACAGTGATAGTTGATCTGGTTGATAACTGAGGTGGCTACTAAGTGACTAACAAGGTGACAGGGAGTGTACACAGCGTGGGTACCTGCACCAGGAAGGACAGAGTGGGTCAGTGAGAGATTTCATCATGCTACTCAGAAGGGTGCGTTGTTGAAAACGTATGAATTGTTTATTTCTGGAACTTTCTATTTCATATTCTCAGATCTCAGCTGACCGCAAGTAACTGAAACTGCAGAAAGTGAAAAGGCAGATAATGGGGACTACTGTAGTCTATCAGGCACTCGCTCCCCTCACCGCGGCTCAGCTCCGCATACCGTCCCGTAAAACTCACTCCTGGAAGGTGCTTTATTCTTCTCCAAATACTCCTGTGTACTCACTACCTGTTTATGTATTCATCCGTCAATGTTTGTAAATGGAGCACTTACTGTATACCAGATGTTTTGGAAGCTGGGAATAGGCAGGAACAAGCTGACTTATTAGTGGGGTAATGGTTATAGCTTGGGGTCTGGGTTTGAATCCTGGTTCTGCAACTTCTTTGTGTTAAGTCCTGGCTCAGCCTCCAACGTGCTGTGACCTCAGGTGACGTACGGAACCTCTCCCTGTCTCAGTTTCCTCATCTGTAAGATGGGGAAACTGACAGTACCTGCCAAAGGGATTTAGTGGGTTAGTTAATACCTGTAGTCTCTGGCACCGCGGAAGCATTCAGTCAGTGTCAGCTATTATTATTACAGGGTTCACATTTAGTGGGGAGACAGATCCAATTACACAATTAATTATTTAATTACCGCCGTGATTAATACCATTAATACCCAGAAGCAGCACAGGCTGGAGGTGGGGGGAGGCTCCCCAGAGCAGGGGATGGTTCTGCTGAGCTGAGCAGAGTGAGCAGGAGCTGGCCAGGTGAGGCATGAGGTGGGGAGGGGCGTTGGCGGCAGAGTGATCTCTGAGTAGGCAACCCCTCACCTGAGAAGAATGCATTTCTGTAACCTCACCTCTTTGGAAAACAACGCTGAGAAGTCAGGCAAATACTCTGTCCCCATTTTCCAGAAAGGGCACTGAGATCCAGAGAGGAACAGCTAAGTCATTGGCTGGTCAGTGACCCCACCTCCTGGTAGATTCTCTGCCCCCACTGATCCAAGGGGCTGGAGGGGACAGGCCTGAGAAGAGGCCTTTGTCCTTTTGCCCGCTGGGGTGGGAGCAGCAAGAGCTGAAGCCGCAGCTGGCCACCAGCAGCTGTGGCGGCCAGAACTGCATTCCTTCCCCTGCCAGCAGAGCAAGCCCAGGCTCATGTCAGGGACTGGAACGGTTCTTTTTGTCTTAAAAAAAAAAAAAAAGGCACTTTCGTCAACATTAAGCTTTCAAACAGGCACAGCTCCTAACTGTCCTCCCTACGCCTGGGTCTCTCCAACTCCCCAGGGTAAACCCCCAAGCAGCCAAGTTTCTGGGAAAGGGAATGAGGCCTGGACTTGGAGTCCAAGGACTTCGTGATGAGTCCTGGCTCCGCTTCCAATTTGCTGTGTGACCTTGGGCAGGTCACCAGCCCTCTCTGGGCCTGAGTGTCCTCTGCAAAACCGGGAAGGGAGGGTTGGATGACATCAGGTGGGGTGGGGAGCACAACAACCGGCTCCAGCCAGCTGTAGCAGCTTTACTGCCCTTCAAGTTTGAGGCATTGGGGCCTCAGGGGTCCGGAAGCTGGGGACAGGCAGCCTTTCATCTCTGCTGGCCCAGGGTCGCTGCAGGTTGGCAGGCCCCACATCCCGAGATCGCGTTTCAGGCTTGAAGGGGCCTTCCTGTGACCTCAGCTGGCCAGCCCTGCCCCTGCCCCCCTCCTCCCCATTCTCACCAGAGGAAAGCAGGCAGCATCCCGCCCAAGGTCACCAGCCAGCAAGTGGCTGTCCTTCGGCCTGCCCTTCCCTCCCACCCAAGGCAGCCCCCACCGGACTCCCTCTGTAAAGCCTCGGGTCTCCTGGGCCATTAGGAATCTGCCAGGCAAGGCGTGGTCTTTTTCCTCTCTCTTGTTTCTTGGCTTGTTTTCCCGGTTCTCCAACAGCCGCCTCCTGCAAAAGCCTCCGGGTGCGTGTACAGGAACATTTTTCTTGAGAGAGAGAGAGAGAGGGAGAGAGAGAGAGAGAGAAATGCAGCCATATTTTGGGTAAAAAAGCAACCAGCTCCTTAATCCTTCCCTGTAACCTCTGATTCCTTGACTGGGTTGGCTCCAGCCACTGGGAAGGAAGGCCCTGCTGGGGTGAGAGGTCTGGGCTTGTGTCGGGGCCCACCCCATCCTCACCCGCCTCTGTGCTCCTTCAGAGTTCGGTCTGATTTCTAGAGCCAGAGCACAGGCTGCAGGGCTCAGCAGGGCTGAGAAAGCATGGGCGGGCTGAAGGGGCTGGCTGGGGCCTCTGCCCCTCTGCCCACTTGGCTACCTTCTATGGAGGTCACGAGATCAGGATTCACCCCGAATCGATCGCCTCCACTCCTGCTCATTCCTTTATTCTCTCGTATGAATCCTTCATCTCTCCACTGGAAGTTCCCCGAGCGCCAGCTCCCATTTTGCCGCTTCGTTGTCCAGCATGGGCGTCCCGTTCTCTTTGTGGGAGTCATACACGTTCACACTCCAAACCTTTATCCATTCGGACCCTCTGTAGGTGTGGAGCTCGGTGTCCCTGCACGTCTTGCTCTGTCTGCACAACCCTTAATGATCTGTTGCAGCCCCAGCGCCTGGGTCGGTGCTTGAAACACAGTAGATACATGGTCTCTTGAATGAATGAATTCAAACCATAAATAAGTCTCTAGAAATATTCAGAGTGATCTCACAAAAAGGACATTTGATGATGACAAATCCCCGTTAAAAGTGCCTTCCCAGCACCCTGAGAATCTAGTCCAGTTCTCCTTCCCACCACTTTTACCCACCAGCTCCATCTAAAGGTTTCCTCCCTCCCCACCAAGTTTTCTCTTGCCTATGGGCCTTTGCAGGTGAAATTCCTAGTGCCTGCCACACCCTTCTCCACCTCTCACCTGCTTGACTCCCTCTGGCCTATCACCCTGTTGGATTACCCAGTGAGCAGAGCAGCCATGTGCTTAGGCTCCAGCCAAGCAGGGCACTAAAAACATTATTTCCAGCCCAGCCAGCATGGCTCAGTGGTTGAGCGTCAACCTATGAACCAGGAGGTCACAGTTCAATTCTGATAAAAAAAAAAAAATATTTTTTAAACAACGAACAACATTTTCTAAAAATAATTTGGTGTTTGATAATTTTAAAAAAATATATATTTTTTATTGATTTCAGAGAGGAAGAGAGAGATTAGAAACATCAATGATGGGAGAGACTCATTGATCAGCTGCCTCCTGCATGCCCCCCACTGGGGATTAAGCCTGCAGCCCAGGCATGTGCCCTTGATCAGAATCAAACCCGGGACCCTTCAGTCCGCAGGCCGACACACTATCCACCGAGCCAAACCAGCTAGGGCTCCTGTTCTTATTTTATAGTTAGTATTGTTTTTATGTTGACTTTATACATGGGCTGGGCTGGCAGTAGGTGACATAATCCAGCTCTGATCTCTAAGTCTCAGCCTAGACATCGAATACTCCTCCAGGAAGCCTTCACTGACCCCGTTTAGGTCTCTTTTTGGTAGCCCCAAAGCTTCTCTGGATGCTTCTTTAATATGAATATTTTTACACCCACACCAAATCTGTAAGTTCTCTGAGGGCTCAGTTAATATCTTTCCACCTCTATACCTGCAGCACCCAGTTTAGGGCCTGGCTCTCTAGCCTTAATTTATTCAATCCCTTTCGCGGGATCTGCACTATGCATCGTATTCTATGTTCCCATTTCATAACTCTATTTGAGGAACTCCTACTCATTCTTCAAGACCCCACTCAGATGACCCCTCCTCTGTAAGCCTGCCCCAACCCCCAGTTAAGTTCTATGCTTCTGTGAGCTCACAGCTCCTGACTGTATGTATGGATTTAATAAATATTTCAATAGTGCTATGTGCCAGGCATTTTTCATTTTTTTATTGATTTGAAAGAGAGAGACATCGATGTATTGTTCCACTCATTTATGCATTCACTGGTTGCTTCTTTAGGTGCCCTGACTGGGAACTGAACCCACAACAATGGCATATCGGGACGGTGCTCTAGCCAACTGAGCTACCCAGCCAGGGCTGGTGTCTCCCTCTTTTTTTTGGTAATTTTTATGTATGTGTCTTCTCCTTTAACAATTTGGGAGCCACTGGCAGGCAGAGACTGGGTGGACTGACCCTTGGGTCCCCAGTGCCCTGCATAGGCCTGGCCAAAGCAGATAGCAATATATGCTTGTTAAATGAATAGACTAAGAGATGTCACAAAAGAGGGAAACTTTAGGCAGGATTTTGAAGGTAGGAGGAAAGAGAATAACATGTACTTACTAAGGGGATAGAGTCAGTATAGATAAGAACAGATAATCCTATATAATAAAAGGCTAATATGCAAATAGACCGAATGGCAGAACACCTAAAACAACCCCACAACCGAACAACCAGTTGCTATGACGTGTGCTCACCACCAGGGGGCGTGTGTGGAACATAGCAGGTGTTGGTTGCAGTGGGATGGTGAAGCAGGTGAGCAGGGGCGCCAGACCAAGGCGGGGTGCTGGTTGCTGTCACTGGGGTGAGCCTCTGGTGGTTACTGAAAATTCTTTGCTCCCGTGCACCATGGTCTTGCCCAGTCCTCGCACCCACTGCCAGTGCCAGCCCTGCTGGCAGCCAGTGCCGGAGCCACCACTTGCATCCGCTGCCAGTGCCCAGTGCCAGTCCCAATCACTCAGCAGTGCAGGTGGCTACTGGCCTGATTGCCCCTGAGGGCTTCACCTCCTCCTGCTCCTGAGGGGCGCTCGGGGCAGCAGCCGCCACTTGCACCTGCTGATGGAACCGGCACCACTCACACCCACTGCTGGCGCCAACCCCAATTGCTCTACTCTGTCAGCAGGTGGGAGTGGCAGTGGGAGCTGGGCTGCCAGCCTACAGGGACTGGGAGGGGCCATGGTGGGAGGGGCCGGGTGGGGGCATGGAGGATGGGCCGAGACCCACCCCTGTGCCTAACACAGCCTCGCGGCCCACAGTTCCTTACAAGGTGTACAAATTTGTGCACTGGGCCCCTAGTATTAACAATAATAATGGCCAACTATCACTGAGCACACCATAGTGAAGTGGATGGGAACAGAGATTATGTTCTGCCTCTTATTGGCTGTGTGACCTTGGGCAAATTATCTAATTTTTCTGTGCCTCCGTTTCCTCATCTGTAAAATGGAGCTAGTAATGGTATCTAACTTATCAGGAATTAAAGAAGCGAATGTGTGCCAGGTGCTGAGAACTGTGCCAGGCGCACCTGGGCACGGTGTGCCCTTGCTGTCATTGCTGTGATCTCCATTGCCGAGCACTCTGGTTGTGCCAGGCACTTTCATCTGGCGTCTCCGTCCTCACAGCTGCCTGAAAGGCAGGGATTGCTGTGCCCTTTCACAAAGAAATGTGGTGTAAGCAGGCCACTCACTGGGTAAGTGGCAGAAATGGGATTTGAACCCTGGTCTCTCAGGCCTGCCGCCCACCAATGTTCCTTGACTGTGGCACCTGCCTGCAGGAGGAGGGGGAGGAAGAGAAGATGGCGCAGTGGGAAGGCAGGGAGGCTTCACTAAGCTGGGGCCTCGGGAGCAGAGCAGCAGGCGCTTTTTCTAGAGCTTTCATTTCCGTCTGCCTCTTCCGAGCAGGTGAAAAACCCCACAGAGGGCTCTTCGCTGAGCTCTCCCCCTCCTCCTCCCCCTCCCAGCGCTGCCTCGTCCCCAAGCTGGGAGGGGGAGGTCAGGCATGCAGCGTGGGGTGTGCAAGGGAGGGGAGTGAGGAGGTGGGGGAGCATCATTCCAGATCCTTTCCCTCCAGCATCCGCCTCGGCCCCATCAAAGGCACTCCAGGAGGAGAGAGCATTCCAGGTGGAAGGAATGGCAAATGCAAAGGCTGTGGATTAAGGCTGTGGAGGCGGAGAAAGCCTTGGAGCTTGGCTGGAACTGAGGATGGGGCCCCCTGGGATTGCTCAGTGGAGAAGAACTTGTTTGACGAGAGAGGAGAGAGAGAGAGAGAGAGAGAGACACCAGCTGAGCTGAGAATTCTGCCAGAGGTAGGGTAGTTAGTGGCTGGAAACCATTCTAGACTGAGCACAGAGCTCTCTACTGTCTTCCCCTCAGATAAGGGGTGGCATGGAGGGGCCAGGGTGGTTCTTTTTTGGTCTCTTCCCCTAGAATCCCCTTAGCAGGCTTCGCTCTGCCAGCTCTGTACCAGCCACTGACTCATGACTTCTTATGCAATTTCATGGTTTCTTCCCAGCTCTACAAGATCAGCAGTATTCACTCCATTTTGTAGATGAGAAAACTGAGGCTCAGCCAGGTTATATAACTTGCCCAAAGTCACACAGAGTGTAAAAGGCAGCTCTTGGACTCGAACCCCGGACTGTTTTTCAGAGAAGGCTATTTTGCCTGTTATATTGGTTTGGGCTGCGTTCCCAGAGTGCTTGCCATTCCCATAGCAACCAGGAGAGGAACTCTTGTGCTGACAGCACTTTACAGTTTACGAAGGCCTTGTTTTCTCTGCTCCTCACAACTGCCCCAGAGGCAGGGCTGTTGTTGTCCCTATTTCATAGATGAGAAAACTGAGGCTCAGAGAGAGGGAGTGACTTGGTCAAGATTACAGACCCATTAAGTGGCACAGTTGGGACTCAGACCCAGTTCTGGTGACTCTAAATATCTTTTATACCCCTGGTAGAGGAAGAGGGTCTGTTTCCTGCTCTTGTCAGCCTCAGGGGACAAGGAATAGACCTGGGTTACTTTTTAGAATTGATGTGAAAGGAATGAGGGTTGGCCTTGGGAACCTGGGGACTTGCTACTAATAGTGAATAATTTTGTTTGTAAATCCTCACCCGAGGATATTTTTCCATTGATTTTTAGAGAGAGTGGAAGGGAGGGGGAGAAACAGAGAGAGAGAGAGAAACATCAATGAGAGAGACACAGCGATTGGTTGCCTCTCGCATGTGCCCAGATCAGGGCTGGGGATTGAGCCTGCAACTGAGATATGTGCCCTTGCCTGGAATAAAATCTAAGCCTACACTCTATCCACCGAACCAAAGCAGCTAGGGGGCAGTGAATCATTTTATCCCTGTAACTCCAGGTGATAACTCTGATTCTTTGAATAGAAGAGGGAGGGCTTGCCCTCAAGAACAGCAAACCCCCCAAAATCAAGGTTTGATTTAAATTCCAGCTGTGCTGTTTCCTGGCTGGGGAGCTTTCGGCAAGTCACTTAACCTCTCTGGGTTTCCTTTGTCTCATTTGTGAAATGATGATAATAATAGGACCTGACTTGCAGGACTGGCTATGCAGATTTACTTATTTGTTTTGTAATGTTTGTTTTTTAAAAAATTGAATTTAAAGAGGAAGGGAGAGAGAAAAATTAATCGGCTGCCTCCTGCATGCCTCCTGCCAGGGATTGAGCCTGCGACCTGGTCATGTGTGGGACTAGAAGTCAACCAAACAGATGACCTCTAGGTGCATGGGATGATGCTCAACCAACTGAACCACACCAGCTAGGGCATGGCTAATGCATAGGTAGCACTTAACACATAGTTGGCACATAGGAAATAGTCAACATCAGTGCTTATTATTACCACCATTAAAATGACAGCATTACCGCCAAAACCGGTTTGGCTCAGTGGATAGAGCGTCGGCCTGTGGACTGAAAGGTCCCAGGTTCGATTCCGGTCAAGGGCATGTGCCTGGGTTGCGGACACATCCCCAGTAGGAGATGTGCAGGAGGCAGCTGGTCGATGTTTCTCTCTCATCGATGTTTCTAACTCTCTATTTCTCTCCCTTTCTCTCTGTAAAAAATCAATAAAATATTAAAAAAAAAAAATGACAGCATTACCCCCTCTGAAAGCAACTTGTCTATCTTTATTGTCTAAAAGCAGAAACTACCTAGGCTCCCATTGGCAGACAACCTTCAAGCAAAGCCCCAGAGTCTTATCTAGTATAGGTAGTAACTGCTGATATCAATGATAATTATTATTATTAAAAATTAACATCAGCCCAGCTGGCGTGGCTCAGTGGTTGAGCGTCGATCTATGAACCAGGAGGTCACAGTTTGATTCTGGTCAGGGCATATGCCCAGGTTGTGGGCTCAATCCTGTGCGGGGCCTGCAGGAGGCAGCCAATCAATTACTCTCTCTCATCATTGATGTTTCTCCCTCTCCCTCTCTCTTTCTCTCTGAAATCAATAGAAATATATTTTTTAAAAGAAAGAAAGGAGGAAGGGAGGGCTTCAGGCGTGCCTTCAGTGGAGGCTGTTGGCACAGGGAAGCTGTAGGGACGACGTGCTAACCAACTGAGCCACACTGGCCATGGCTGAACCCAAGTTTGCATGGCTCCAAAGTCTTCTATGACAATTAAGGTCAGATGACAACTTCCCCAGGGTATAGCCTCTCACACCAGCTTTCTCCCAGATGCACCTATCTGCTGGATCTCTTGCCGCAGGTTCACCTCCCTTTATGCTGGGAAAACCAAGCACCATTTTATGGAGTGCCCTCATGTGCCAGAATGCTTTGTACACATTTCCACGTTGAATCCTCACCTCCCCCCTATGGCTCCCTATTATTATCCCCATTTTTTCAGAAGAGTAGCTGAGGCACAGAGAGGTATAGTGACTGCTCAAGGTCACACAGTCTAAAATAAGATCGCAGAGCCAAGATTCAAATCCAGATGGGTTGGCCTCAGAGCTTGCATTCTTTCAGGAACTACCAGAAAAATATAGCTGCCCTTGGAGGATAGCCCCACTTTCAAAGCTAGGTTCCCTTCCCTGCAAGACCACCTTTGTTTAGGCCCCAGTGAGCTGTGTCCTCCCTTCCCATTGCCACTCTATTGGCCCAGATGTCTTCCACACCCTCTCCCTAGGCCTGCAACACTTCTCTCAACCACCTGCTGCCTCGTTCAGCCCCACTCATCTAGACACCACCTCTTCAGGAAGCGTCCTCCAACCCCACCCCATCCCTTGACATTTGCTCTTATAAACACATTGCACTTTGCCTTCTTGTTCCTTATCACAGTTTTTAATTGTATTTTGATCCATCTGATCATTTGTTTAACAACTTGCTTCCTCACCAAACTCTAAGCTCTATGAGGGTCTAAGTCTGTTTTGTTTGCCATTGTAGCTGAATCACTAACAGGCTGCCCTACATAGTCGGTGTTTAATAATTTTTTTTTCTTAATAGATGAATTTATGAATGAATAAGTAGCTACTAGGCACTTTACACACGTCTCATTAATTGCACACTCACTGAGTCCTCACAACTACCCATGTTAGAGAAGAGGTAGGTGAGGCTCAGAGAGCTAGAAAGTGGTTGAGTTTGGATTAAATGTAAGGTCAGTCTGACCCCATTGAATCTCTGCACAGCACCTGCTGTCTCCCAGCACCCAGTGGCCACGGACAGGATGTAAATAGTAATTGATTGTCAGACCACATGTCCCATTTTGAGCCTGGAGGTCATGACTCAGCCAGCACTGGGGCCATGGACACCACCTGCTTGGTGGTCTCTGTCCTTCTAAAGCTGCTTCCCCTCCCGTCCCCCACACTCCCTTCGACTTCCGACTTCCTTTTTTTACAGAGAGGGAAACTGGTCTACGGCCATACCACCCCGAACGAGCCCGATCTCGTCTGATCTCGTAAGCTAAGCAGGGTCGGGCCTGGTTAGTACTTGGATAGGAGAGGGAAAATGACTAGAAATTACAGCCAAGGCAGCCCTTCTGGGAGTACCCATCCTGCAGTGAAAAGAGCACTGTCCTGAGTTCAGAGGGACCTGGGTAAATCCTGGCATGGGTGCTGCCCCACCCAGGGCCCGCAGTGGCATCACTGCCTCTCTTGGAGCTTGTGACCGCCTTTGGGATTCTGTCTGGGTTGCTGACCAACCTGTCATCCCTTACTCACTTCCGGATTCTTACGATACCAGAAGCAGCTCAGGCACACCCCGGAGGATCACTTTTCCCCTGAAACCTTAGTGATTGACAATAGCTTTGCCTGGGGGTCGGGGGTGGGGCTGTGCCAGACTTTGGTGACCAGAGAGATGGGAAACTGGCCGGGCACCCTCAAGACCCTCCCTGAAATGCTAAGGGTTTGGGGGAGGGAAGTCTTTCTCAGGGGACATCAGGCCTGCAAGGGAGATATACAGGAGAGGAAACCAAAATATACAGGTTTGAGTTCCAGGGTTGTTTCAAATTCCCTGGGTGACCCGGGATAAGTCATAGAGTTTCTCTTCTCCAAAACAAGAACACCATCTGTCTCACAGAGTTGCTCTAGAGAATTATACGAGGTATCTTTGCTAACTTGCGAACGTCACGCGGATATCCAGCTGCAGCCTTTTATAACCAACAAGATGCACATATACCCACTCACGGGACTGCTCCTATTTCGCAGGACAAACTGAGACCCAGATAAATTCAGGAAGTGGTCTGAAGTCGCAGAGTTTGGTGGGGGCCATCTGATCCTGGCCTTTCAGAACCGTCTCCCAGTTCCAGGACCCAGGGCCTCCCCGCCCGCCGGATTGGATCCTGCAGTGGAGGGTTCGAGCCAGTGACTCACTCTCTCCACCCAACTTTCTGCCCCACCTGAGACCGGGAGGGAAGAGACAAAACGATGCGCAACTTGAGGGGTGTCCACAGCAAGTGCATGAGCTTGGCCCCTCCGCTCCACCAAGAATACTGGTTCTTTTTAACTCTAAGAAAAAGAATTCGTCTTTCAATACACTTTTCATGAGTTTTTACACTTTCTTAGCTGGAGTTTTCCTACTTTGAACTTAGGAGTTGATTTAAGGTAATCTCCACCCCCTTCGCACTTGGTTTGCCCCCCGCTGTTTACTCCGATTGCGGAAGTAGCTCGGGTGGAGCTCCCGGGACAGTTCACTTGAGTACGTCTTTTGCGTGGCTATTTAACTGGCATTCCGTTCGGGCCAATGAAAGGCCCGGAAGCCCCAGGCGGGTGGGGCAGAGAGCCAATCAGGACGGTTGGCGGGGTGTGGCTGCGGGGATCGCGTAATGGCGGTCGCGGGCCGGTGAAGCACGGCTGGGGGCGTAGCGCA